GGGGCCTAAATGCGGCTTTAGGAATTTGCAATTCACAGACTTCCAGGTTAGGTGAATATTTGCAAAAGCCAGATTCGCCTGCAGTTGAAACAAAGCCAGAGTCAGTGAAACCACAGACTCAGCTGGGAAGGGGAGACCAGCCTGTACCCTGTGTCCCTCCGCAAAGGCTCAGCCTCTGCCTAGTGTTTCAAGGGGAGGCTGGCTGGGGGCAAGTCTCCTTTTATCTGAGTGCTTATGGTACTGGGAGTGAGCCCAAATCCCTTAACCATTTCTGCTGAAATTCTATTGGATTCTTTTTCTAAAGAAATGGCAGACAGTGATATGTCGGAAAGTGCACAGACTTTGGATTTAGCATTCTCAGGTTCAAATCCAAATCCTCAGGCAAATTGCTTAATCTCTTTGAATTCTAATTTCCTGATCTATAAAATGGGAAGGTTAATTCGTGGAGTTGTTATGATGATAGAACGTAGATAAATGTAAACATTTACCTCAGTGCCTAGTGGTTATTGTAACTATCCTTTTCCCGAGGACATTCATTGCAGATCTGATCTGAGACAGGTCTGATTGAAAGAGAGACTGAGGATATTCTGGCCCTAGAATGAAAATTAATTAATTAAAACCCTCTCTTTACTGAATTATGGACTGGAGTTATTACAAAGGGGTTTTCACTTCCCTCAGTTAAAATTAATTGAATCAAACTCTTGACTTCTACATTAGTTGGATCACATTTTAGAAATATTTTGCGGCCAAAAAAAATTTGACAATTCCATAGTTAAGTAATTCTATAAGGTTCTATAAAATTGCTTGGATTCTCCTGTCTTTGTTTTATATCCTCATGTTTTGTAAAGCTATGCCTGAGTGGCAAAGAAAACAAACCAAGCATAGAAATAGCAGGTGTCTCTACTCAGCACTTGTATCAAATAATTTCATTAATTTCTAATTATGAAAAATCTTCAGAGATGTTTTCAAAGTTTTCCAAGTATTTCCACAACATAAAAACTGTGTGGCAGAGGGTGAATTATAGCCTCATTTTGTCATCTAGCTTACTTCTTTTTGGCATTTAGTTTACTTTGGGAAGGACATGTGAAATATTCCGGGTGCACATTTGAGGGTGATCTCTGCTCGGAGTCCCCCAGACCTGCTAATAACCACGAAGGGCGGAAGTACCTTTTTAAGATCCCCTGAATGGCAGCTAGCAGATGCCCAGCATTATATAACATCTCCGTTGAGGTTCAAAGGCGCCTTTTATGGAGAGGGGAGGCAGATTTCTGTATTTCAGAAAAACTTCAAAGTAAACAAGAAGCAGTGCTTTCATGAAGAACATGGAGGAAAAATGGCCAAGATTGAGGCTTGCTGCCGCCTCATTGATGACGATTTTTCAGACTCTTTGCTGTCAGGATTCCTGGGGCCATGGGGAGAGAGTTCTCTCAGGCCCGCTTCTCCCGTGCAGACGAGTCACTGTGCAAACCCGATGTCTTCACAGCAGTGCTGGCGACCAGAGGGGACTCAGGAAAGGTGGTTCTGAAGTCAAACTTTCTAAAACTGTCTCTCCTTTTTTCCCCTTTAGCTTGCTGGGCTTTCTGATCCCTTTCTGATAGGAATTCACATTTTGTTTCTCTGAACGTGTCTCAGAAGAATTTTGTCCCAGTCCGTGCCTGCGGATTGCTTTCCAGAACAACAGTTCTGTTAATTAATTACATCGTGCTCTTCCATCAGGATGGAAGATTCTTGACTCAGAGAACAGTGAGTTGCTGTACATTAAGTTAATGAGATGCCATCAACATCCTATGCACAAGCAGAAAAACACACAGATAAAATTAGGGCGACCTTCTTAGCATCTTTAGTGGTAAAAATTTTGACTGCATTTCATGTATTTCCTGTTCCTTTTTTTTTTTTTTTTTTTTTGAGACAGAGTCTCACTCTGTTGCCCAGGCTAGAGTGCCATGGCGTCAGCCTAGCTCACAGCAACCTCAAACTCCTGGGCTCAAGCAATCCTTCTGCCTCAGCCTCCCGAGTAGCTGGGACTACAGGCATGCGCCACCATGCCCGGCTAATTTTTTCTATATATTTTTAGTTGTCCGATCAATTTCTTTCTATTTTTAGTAGAGACGGGGTCTCGCTCTTGCTCAGGCTGGTTTCGAACTCCTGAGCTCAAACAATCCGCCCACCTCGGCCTCCCAAAGTGCTAGGATTACTCCTGTTCCTATTTATTCATCCATTCAGTGAGTATCTATCGAGGATCTGCTCTGTCCCAGGTGCCGTGCTAGGTGCTGAGGGAGCACAGCCAGGCCAAGCGTGATTCCTTCCCCTCAGAGATGGGTCTGCTTGCTGTGCAAAGCAGGCGAGTAAGTCCGTACTTATGATAATAATGAAAATAGCTCAGCTTCATGCAGACTGGTCACGTCTCAGGCCTTGTCCCAGGCATTCTACAGGCATCTTCTCACTTATTCTCCTAACCACCCTCTGAAGTGGGTACACCATTCACATCACCATTTGACAAATGAGGAAACTGAGGCAGGGGGTAAATAGGTTGCCTGGCCAAGGTCACACCGCTAGGAAGTGGCAGAGCTGGTGTTTGACCCCAGACATTCCGTGTGTGTCCCAGAGTCGTTGCTGTTAACGTTAAAGCACACGGCCTCCCAGAGCAGACATCCAGAAAGTGGCTGAGAGCGCCGAGGGGAATATCTAAACCTGACCGGAGTGACAAGGAGCGCTTCCCAGGGAGTGGAATGCTTTCATTAAATTTTGACAGATGAGCAGGAGCCAGTAAGGTGGAGAAGGTGGGGGAAGAACAGAAATCAGGAAAGGAAGGACGTTTCAGGATCACACCAAACGAGCCAGGGTGCGGGGGCTGAACTGAAGGACCCAGGTGGGAACAGGTGCAGCGAGGCCGGCAGGGCCGAGGACCGGTGCACTCCGCGTGGGGAAGCAGCTGGCCGGACTCGACCCTGAAAGTTATGGCAAGCCGGGGCGTGACATGATCGGGTTTGCATTCACAGAGAAAAGACCAGAGGCCAGACGAGAAGCAGTGGGGCCTGTGTTCAGATAGCAGCAAAATGAACGGAAGGAGAGGAAGTCAGTAATGAAGGGTTATAGATATGAAAGATACTTGAGAGACAAACTCCACAGATGTGTAACAGAATAATCACGAGGATTATGTGGAAGGGAAAATCCTAGAATGAAGCTGAGGTTTCTGGTCATGAAGGTGGGCAACTTTCATAAAGAAGTTTGACACTGGAGGGCAAAATACAAACTACATTTTGGACGTTTTGAGTTCGAGCACCTGCGAGCTGTGGGAGTATTACCAAGTGGACATATCTGGAGGATGCCAACTGTGCACGTCTGGAGCCCAACAGAGAGGTCTGAGTCAGAAATGCAGGTTAGGAGTCACCATCACTTAGAGAACCATCAGGAAATAAGCCTTCGGCACCTTCAGCATGGATGACGTCACCCAAAACAAATGCATGGAGAAAGGAAACAAGATGTCAAGAGAGAAA